GGTCTCTGTTTTAATCAATACACACACACACACACACACACATGCCATCCTCCAGTCTCCAATAATAGCCTTTCACTGTGAATACTTATATATAAATCTCTTTAAATTGGAATACGCGCTTAACCAAGAATAGGCCAAGAAAACAGTAACTTATAATCTCAATTTCCAATGGACTGTCCGATGAGCCTGTTATATTCTAAATCAGTATAACTTAACAGTAACTGGATTGTATTAAGGATGTTAACAACAACAAAAGGGAGTAAAATAGCTTATTAGTCTAAACGAATAATTTGTTCTGGCTGTTAACATCAATCCCGTATATAAACAAACGGCTGAAGCACATTATAGCACACGACTGGACGCCCTCGGTTAATTCCCGGTTTTACTTATGTTAGAACAATAATTTCTGAGGTTTCTTGGTTCTCTTGTGTTTCATTACTTTTCTTAAGGGTCAATATCAAAGAACTGTGAACTAATAGTTTTGTTTCCGTCTAAATATTCCACCTGTTGTGAGCTATTCCGCCTCGGTGATCAAAATCATCAAATGACTGTGGACGAAAAAAATCAATTTTTTTTTTAATGAACGTCGTGACCTTTGATGTACAGCTGTGGCCGCCATTACAAAGAGACGCCTCGTATAGTAGTTCTACGTCGGTTCCAAAAAAGAATTTTTAGTTGATTACCAACGTTCCGGAATTTCTGGGTACCATATACCGTCAGTTTTACAATATTCTGTGGCAGTCTGGGTTATTTCTTCTCTTTCTATAGACACCCACCCTATTCAGACCCCTAATTCGTTGACAATACAAGTGAACCATACACGTGGCAGACTTTTTATTAAGTGACAACTGACAACTTGACAAGTAACACCACACCTTACAGGTCTGCCACCCTAACTTCACCACTTGACTGGGGAGAAAAGCTCAGTTTCGCAATCGAGGGTTCATGAAACTCGAAGCCCAAAGGAGGTACAGTATACATTATTTGTCATTCAGTAATATTTACTTTGACTTCAACAGTTAATGTTAGTCTTAGTAACCCGTGTAAATTAAAATAAATAAATCCATCAAATATCATACTACATTTAAAATTACTTACCTATACTGTACATAGGGTCTACTGTATAAAACCTTCAAACAGCGAGGAAGTTTTGCCCTAGAGTTTTCCATTATTGATGAATATTTGTCGAGTACCAAGAGTTTTATCTCTCATAATTTTTATTGTTGATATAATACTGTAGTGTAAATATTAACCTTGTTATGCGCTTAAAGACCTTTGTTGATGAAGCGCAGTAATAACATTACAACAACAATTGGTTCGGTATCGCGAGAAGCTATGTAAAGCACCCGCTGACAATACTATCATAATTATTATCTACCTCCGAAAATGTGATCCATCTTTTACTGATCGACCTCCTAAAGTCCGAACAATGGGGTTAAGGCTTTGTTTGAAATGAATGTTGCTCGAAAATATCCGAACTCGATACCTAAGCGAATGCCGACACCGAGAACGTAAACAAAGAATGGACCGACGTTAACGACTTCGGACAACTTCTAAACATCAATCCATAGCACCAGTATTTATATAAGATCATATAAATTTCTTTTGAATCACTAATTGCCTTTTTAAAGTAGAAATATATGATATGAGATGAAGTACAATGTGAATCTACTGAACTGTATGTACAGAATAGGAAGTGACTTATTTGTTTAACTCGTGATGCAGGACCCAGGAACAGCTAGGACTCTTAAATATTAATTGCTTGCTGTGTTCAAGGTCAAATGGCTTCCAAACTGCACTGGAGCTATACTATAGTAGGAATGGGTTCTCTTGTCCCCCGGTTACTGTAAAATAAAACTTACAAATCAAAGAATATGTCTAGAGGTGTGTTGATGTTAGACTATAGGTACATACTGTAACCTCGTATTGTGACTAAAAATACACTTTTCTTCAACATCTGAAACTTGAGAATGATATGTTTCTACATTTCAAGATCTAAGGTCGTTGAATGTGTATCTGGATTTATTAACAACTAATGATTCTGATAACTCGGTGTTACTATGAATTATACATTAGCAAGTATTAGGTTAGGTTAAAGTTTGCTCAGATTGTTAGGTTAGGTTACATTTCGATTACATTATGTTTGATTAAGGTTAAGTTAAGTAGAATTCTGTCCCGTTACTCTTTAAATCCGTTAATACAACTCGTAATAAGTTTAATGTACCCGGCCTCTTGTAGACTCCAATCCCTCCTCCCTCTCCGCACCTCATTCATTATTCACCCCTTGGCCTTCCTCATTTACCATCAAATCATTAATAATTTAAAACATCGATTCATCATAGAAAACGATGTATCTAACCATAGCTACACTCCGCACTGCTCTCACAAACTTTCTGAACTGCCTAACAAACCCCTGTACTATTTTTCCGTACCTAATTACTGCATTCTAAATTATGTTCGTACCTAAAAATCACACTAATGATACTGTAAACATATATAAATATGAAGTCAATATAAATAACTGAAAAATTCTCTCTGTCTGCTTCACTTTCACCTAAGCTCTCACAACCAAGAGAGCGGCTACCGATTCCAATATCTTGACCCCTTGATGGAATTTACTGTCATATTTCTAAGTAATGAAACCTTAGATAATAGTTAATTCTTCATATTGGTTTTGAATTAAATTAAATCAAAGGTGAATTTACATAAACGTTAGCGTGTAGCAAAACCGACTTGGGAAAAAAGTTACTGAAGTTTACATAAAATCCGTCAATGTCAGTACTGTATATATGTGATTTACTGATAATATGGCGCATTGAAAATATACCACGCAAACATTTAATACTATTTTTTATCAAAAATGGATGATAACTAACCAAACTACCATGGGATCGTAAAACTGGGGTAGGTTCGTGTTATGTACAGTACCTATTTACTACACAATAGATATACGTATCAAAGGTCATCTTCTTGACATAACTAACATTTGGTCATCTTCGTGTTGGTATATAGCGACTTAATAAGCGAATACTGGTCATCAGCTAATTGTATTCTTGCCTATAATTCATTATTTCTCGCAAGTAAATTTTATTTTCTCAAATGTTCTATGGGAGCTTGGTCTTTTGTATATCACAACTTGCAATGTATACAGGTAAATCAATGTAAACAGGTGAGTTTTGTTTACATCAGTTTCGTACTTGATTTAAACCCTTTCTATGGCATTTTTATCAACAAACGTCACAGTAAAAAATTATCTACTCATTAATTTGGTGTAGTATTATATTAAACACTGGATTTTATCACATTTTGGAGGGCGTTAGCTTATTATTAATAAGGTCCTTTTTCACAAAATTTAAAAAAAAATACATTCTTGCGGTTGTTCATATTGAAAAATAACTGGCGTAAATAAGATCAATGTATTTCTAATAACCAAGAATAAGGGAAATATAAGGTCAGAAATATATGTAAATAAAAAACTATTACAAACGGCTAAGATATTCAAATATAAGCCACGATTACTGATGCTATTTTTTATGATGATGACAATTTTAGATGGTGAAGATAATGATGATAACAATTATCTCTTCTACACCAACAATAACACATGAGTAAACGTTCTCTCCAGTGAGCCCCTAAGAGCCACGCCTGACCTTTATTCTCCGCGTCTTCAAAAGGTCACTGGAATGAGTTATGACCAGCGCCAGGGAACAAAATCAGCGTGAGAAATATCATCAGCAAACAAGGGCGAAAATCCTCTTGACGTTACAGAATATTTACGTCTTTACAGTTCTAATGTTGTGATCAAATACCTCTAGTTTAAATCAACTCGTATTATCTTCAAGTCTTCAATCCAACTCTAACACACACACACACACACACGCAGAGGCAGGTTTTCTCAATTGAAGATGTTTATCGCTAGACTGTGTTACGTACGCATTTTATCCTGGAGTTCAATCCACAAGCTTCCACATTCCATCTCCCCTGGTCTGCATTGTTTCGCGTTATTTGTCTCTCGTTCACCAGCCACCAGCATCTCTCATTCTCTCCACCAACCAACATCTACCTCTCTTCACCAGCCACGTATCTCTCTCTCTCTCTCTCTCTCTCTCTCTGGGACCAACAACACCTGTCAGCACAGGGGTATTCCTTTATTCATTGATCCCGTCATCCATTAAATTTTATTGATAAATTTTGACGATAGTCGATGGTGAATGTATGGTCGAGTTGAGGTCCCCCTTCCTCCTCCACGAGTACCTACCTCTTCTACCATTTCTTCTTTTTAGAGTTAAGCGAATTAATTTTCAATTCTTTTGGTAAAGTTGTATCATCTTTTCCCTACTTTCTCAGAATGTAAATTTTATACTTTTTTTACAGCTCCAAAATTATTTCAACGTAGATATTATTTTGTTACTTAATGGATTCAAGTTGACAGTTTACAGGACAACGTTACCTTATTCGCTACTCAAACGAAAGTATCACAATGCTCTTGTTACTATGTGGACAGTTTAAAATTACATAGTTCTTGTACTGACAGCCAACTGATACGCACAATACAAATGCATTCAGGTGAATAATATGTACTTGAATACTGAAATTGTCACATATATACACAGTACTAATATGTGTACACAAATTTTGACAGGTATTAAGTGCCAAGTTACTACTAAGGTTAAGTTAGGTTAGATTAGAGTTGGGATGCTGGCCGTTTCGTATACAAGATTAAGATTGAAAATTTGTGTCAGTATCAATGACGTGTTAGGTTAGGTCAGGTTAGGTTATACAGTAGTTATCATGCAAATTTCGGTAACGCTGAATGTGCGTATACGCAACGACTTTGGGCATGGATAGGGGGGGGTCAGTGTACGAAACGACCTGTATTCAAGGTTTATACAGTATACGAAACGACCATTTATCCCCGCATCAGTAAACACAAATTCTGTATCATTAAACAATATAAATGAGCGTTATGTATAATATTTACCACACCAAGATGTACTCACCAACTTGGTCACTGGTGAGGTTCATGATGTTCTTGTAGGCGTTGTACAGGTGGAACATAGAGTCCATGACTACTTGGAACATGCTCGCTTCTCCCTCACCTCAAAGGCTACACCGCACACCGCCAGGGACCACCACCTCACCTTCTGTCGCCATTTTTCAATATGTGGTGTCAGTCCGTCCTAGCCATAGTGCTTATGTTCAAGAGATTCCGTACACTATGCTTCTACGCATGTCTAACTTGCACTATTGTAGTTTTAAAGTACTAGGATGCTTCAAGGGCCTGGGTCTTTCAGCACCGTTCACTAAGTCTTAGTCCCACACTTGACAACTTTTCTGTTTAATAATGAAAAGTAGTCTTTCTTTTTTCGTCGTTCGTGTTCGAATTTATTTAGGTATTCCAAGGGCTAAGTCTCTAAACACCGTTCACTATTTCTTAGTTTCTACGCAGAAAATAAAATTAAAATCCTTGAAATATAAGGAAGTTAGTTTCGTATATCGTTGCTGCTGTATTGTACTATACTTCAATAACCGAGGTCTTCAAGAACTTACACTGAATTACATCACACATTAGACAACAATTAAAAAGGAAAAAATGAAGATTATCGAACGTTTGTACAGTTAATTTTCTTCCCCAATAGCTCAAACTATTTCTGGGGGTACATTATAGGCAAAATTTATTCACGGATCACATGAATATTAGCCACCCCATATTATTTCCCCTTAAGATTAACCAACCTAACCTATCCTAGTCTAACCTAGCCCCCCCCCCTCCTTAGGTAACGTTAGGGTGTTAATAAAATCAGGTAAAATAAACTGGGTTGGCTACTCTTCAGGTGATCAATGAACTATTTTATACCTGCAATGTTTTCCTCAAAATAGTTTAGTCTGAGTTATATTTCAGTTCAGCTTACAGAATTTCGTCTTTTGATAAATGAGATTGTCAATAGAACGGACAGTATGCACAAACGCCTTATGTTATCCCTGGCATTGAACATTCAGTAATATAAGATTGGTATATACTACTTATCAATATGAATGTTAAAAGAATACTTGCCAACTCGACGGGTAGTGGCACAACTCAGGACAAATCATGAATAATTTAGTTCATGATAAAACTTCTTACTTCCTATCTGCAGAGCGCTTGGTCTGCACAGAAGTAAACTTACATAATCAAACAGGCACACAGCAAAGTGCTCCATCACCATACTTTGAGATAATTATCATGACTGGCTAAATATTTAAAGTGTGATACTACGGAGGGATAAAACACAAAAAAAGTCTTACGATGAATGTTCCTCGTACCTGAAAATAAGATTGCTCCTTATATTCAGCCTTGCGCGGAATATAAGGCCCAAAAATTGCATCAAACTTAAGCTAAGACTCTATCCTAACTGAATACGTCCACGTAATACCAGTTTGAGGGCAGAAATAAGGTACAAAATCTAATAAAAAAAAATAGTGACCTTAATTACGTCAGGCGTTAAGTGTGCTTCCACATCATTTATCAGTTTGTTTCACGTAAAATGTACATCAATCTCAGCGTTTATCCTCTGATGCTTCTGAAAATAATGTTTAGCGAATAGATTTCATACAATTTAATATTCTTCAGTTAAAAGAAAACAACTTTCATTAACCTTTAAACTGCTACCATCATCGGTGGAAGTTAACTGTAAGGACGGCGGCCTTCATCTGTGGAAGTTTCGTGTTAACTTGCGTTCAATATTTTAGCATGTGGGAGAAGTGCTGGGGAACCTACGAGGTAATTTCAAGTCACGAATACTTACGACAATATTCACCAGAGGTGACGGTTCCTTCTTCTTCACGGTGGGTTTGTCGATGACGTGAAGAGTGACGTCTTGATTATTTTATAAGTTTCTCAGTCAAATGGCAGACACAAGCTTAATATTAATTATTCTACTTGAGATATTAAAGCTAACTTGAATGGGTTTGGCTGAATGTGGTAGAGCGTCATTTGTTTTTTAAACTGTTTATTCATATTTTATTTAAGATAATGACGTATTAATTAATGCACCAAAAGTTATCTTACGATATTATTAATAAGATACGACTAACTTGAAAGTATGATCGGTCACACCACAAACACTGCAACAACATACAGACGACCACTAGAGCAAAACATTAGGAATATCAATGAATCGTCAACTTAAATTTTCAGAGCAACTCGTGCTGCAGTGTGGCCGATTAGCAACACTGTGGACGAAATTCGCTATAACAAATTAGTACTCTAGAACTGGAGCGTGGTGTTACAGTGACAGTGACGTCTATAGCTGGAATATCGTGCCATATATTTTCCTCTATAATAAAATACTGTACTGTTGTCTTTAATTACAGGCTTCAAACTTCCCTTTTGTTATATATATATATATATATATATATATATATATATATATATATATATATATATATATATATATATATATATATATATTCTACCTCCTGAAATAAGACAAGTTTTTCGTTCGAAAATACAATTTGAAAGAGCCTCCATTAAACTTTACATCCTCTCCCATTGCCAATACATGTATGACTCAAAGTCTCATAAAAGACTTAAAAATTATTCACTGAACTGTATTGAAGTTATTTTCCAATGAAACAACAAAGACTATGGGACATGGATTTATACTTTTACACGGATATTTCATATTAGTCGAATACAAAAACTCCAATGGCTTTTTATTTTATTTGTTTTCAAAGGAGTTCTTAAAAAGTATATTCTTCATTCAAACATCTGTAGGTTTTACCAAATTGATAATAATTGTGTTAATATAAAGAGTTTATCATTGGCGAGTGAGAGAAAGAGCTACAGACTCGTGAGAATGTGCGAGGCTACGGCAGTGTCCTGGTGACGAGCAGTAAACGTCGGAATTCCCCGTGTAAACTGTTCAGTACAAACGGATTTTTTTTTTGTGAATAACCTATGGAGTTTTGTTGCTTTATATGTTGTTGGTTTATGTGTTGATCTCAAGATTAAACGTGTATATTGTGTTTAATCTAAGAATACTGAAATAGGAAGTGTAATAAATGTGCTTTAAATTGGAAAAGAATAAAGAATAAATGAGAAAACGTGTACTGATAAATTTACGAGGTTCTCCAGTTTCTTATGACACGACAGTGGATGTTATGTGTGGTACTATACTTGTCTATGACTTATAAAGGAGTAAATGTGCACCAGCAGGCATTGACAATAAGAGGAACTGAGGATCTAGCAAAGGTTCCTGCCTATACTACAAGAAGGAAATATGGAACGCATATAAAATATAATTTGTTGAAAAGATTCTAAAAATACAAAATCCTCATTGAATTTCAACAAAACACTGACGGATAGTTAAGGTTGTTGCTGTATGCTTCTCACTGGGGTAAATACACGAGTCCTATCCAAGAGTAAATATAAAAAGTATGTAACTGGTAACAATTAGACGTGTAAACCTGCGAATAACTGCACAGAATATATGAGATTTGTTTTTTCTTGAATGTAGATCCAAAGTTTTGGAGCCCTCCACTATATAATTTTGCATTGTTTAATATGGCCCAGAGCCTACAAAAGGTGGGACCAACACTGTTGTATGTATGCAGGTGCTTCAACGATAAGTGGTTTTAAGCACCACAAAATTCTTAATGTCTACAAAATACAATAACTTCAAAAAATGGAAGATATTATTGATGATGGCGGTTGTTATAGTAGTGGTGCACTGAATCAATGGTGGTACGGCGGTCACGAAGTGTATTGATCAGCGGAGTGTAAACAGTTCGTTGCAACACAATATACCATATACTTAAAGGCACCTTCTAGCAATGAATACTTTACATCTACAATCTGAAAACTTCTATACCAGTGAAACAGGATATATATTACGTCAATTATGTATTACTACGTACCTGAAAAATCCTATTATTGGTTCAATCCAATAGATGTACATACAATTCTAGCCATTTTTACATTATTTGGCACTGAAATGTAATACAGTATGCACTGTAGAGCATTTCATGTTAGCGAAGATGACGAAGGAAACAACAATTGCAGTGGCTCTTCACCAGCAGAACGTAAATGGTATCCTCGAGGCCAGCACTCCAGGCCATTATCGACGCTACTATCGATGCAACGTGAATCGTTAATAAAGAATTTTAATGCTTCCCGTAACATATTTCCAGTACATCAATGAGCTGAACGTTGCGCAGTGATAATTTACAATCATCAGATATACCTGATAGCATCGGTGTTGCAGAGTTCACTGAATAACTCCTTCGATACTGTTTTCCTCTCATTAATGGTCTAATCTTTGAACACTTATAAATGACAATCGGGGCTTATACTCTAATGTTTTCAAGGGAGCATGGTGAAAATATCTATCAATCTGTTTACACAGAAACAAACTCATGCTGATAAGGAGATGAATCTGTCGGTATTATATAAGCCTATATATAGATCAAAAACAAATTCCAAAACAAAGATCATATTGAAGTTTTCTGAACAACGATGACTGCGAGGAATACAACAAACTTTGAACAACAAATTAGATACACAGTATCTTTAAGTGTTTCAATAAAATAAACTCTTAGCTCATAATTTGAGAATATAACACCCCAACAATATACCAGCGTCCATCATGCTCGAATCACTTTTCCAGAACCGTATTGTATTGTTCACCTATTAGTACTAAGTAGGTAGGCCTATCTCTTTGTGCCATTGGTTATTAGTCCGTTGGTAATCAGTGTTACATTTTAAAAATATAAATGTTTATATTGGTAAAATCTATAACACACACACCTGCACATCATTCGAGTTTATCAGCGTGGGAGGTTTGAGTCCATCACACAGATGAGGGAGGCTGTCTGCTTCTACAGTCACTTGGGTGTAGATAACAACGCAGAAGCAGTTAATCTTTTTTTTCAGTCACGTGTGGTATCTTTTCCACATAAAAACACAAACGTATCTTATCATTGGGATCTTGCTGTCGCCCCCCTCCTCTCATAACCACAGTTGGTGTATGAATGAGGGGGTCATCGCGCCGCCAGCCTCCACTCAACAGTCAAAAGCGACGACTCCGAACCCCGAGATCTTGGCTCTCGACGTCACAATAAACCCAAAATGTCATGAAGCTCAGCGATATTTCTACAACAGGCAATTCGTTCTCTCAGAATGAAATAACATAGTTAAGGGTGATTAATATAAAATTTTCGATTTTCATCAAAGCAAAAATCAACGAAAAATACCATATTATTGACCTGGTAATAAAGAATACTCAAAAGAAACAATCGGCAACTGGCTCTCTTGCTCACAACTGGTAAATGTCATTGTCTAATGTCTTCGTGATCTGGAAGCTTCATGCTGATGGCTATATTTACCTGTAACTCCACGAAAACAATTCACCACGTATAGGACGAAATATCAAATCAAGAGTTATAAATAGTATCTCGTTATTCTATTTGAGAGACACCTTTTGGGGTGTTAAATTTTGTATAAATACCAAGGATGACGCAAGAAATTAAGTCTCTGACGCAAATGGTACGTTACGAGGATTGGATACCGCATGGTCTATAATCTTACGTTACTACCAGATGTCTCGTTGAGGAATGTGTCTGATTTATGCATGATTACATAACTAGCAACATTTACAATTTGTGAATAATGTAAAATATATTAATTCCTTCAAATTCTGATCAGGAACTTTCATCACCACCTTCGTTCAATCTATCAATACATTTTCTTCAGTTTTCCATGTATTCAGTTGATTTACATTCTGGCAGAAGAGAAAACGAGACAAAATTGTAAATTCGTTTGGTTGTGGCCGACAAGAATGTATAAACAAAGCTTTCTATTAAATAAATTATTGTATAGTTTCATTTCTGCTGTCAGGTCAAAATTTTAAAGGTGGGGATCAGTGTTGGCGATGATTTGTTTTTTTTGTTTTTAACTATTGCAATCCAGAGTACCGTCCTCATACCTGAGGGTTGGCGACCACAGTCCTCCATTCTAAACGTTCTCGGGCTATTTTTACCTATCCTCCAAAGTTTTGTATCTCTCTAGGGACCCAGTTTTTAATTTCATTCATCCATTCCAATCTCTGCCTTCCCCTGGCTCTCCTACCCTCAACTTTGCCCATTAATATTTGTTATTATTCCCCATCCCTAATTATATGACCAAAGAATTTCATCTTTCCTTATCTCTACATTCCAAGTATTTATCTTGAAGTTTTTGGTAATCTTAGTACTTCTTCATTTGTTTTCCTGTCAGTGTATAGCTTATTCTTAGCATTCGCCTATAACACCACATTTCAAAGGCCTCCAACCTCTTTCTGATTTAATTGTTTAGATTATGAACTCGCCTAATGTATCATTTTAAAAATACGTTAGTTGTTATAGCGCAGTTGTTAAGATTTCTAAACGAAGCTTGATACCTATAACCTGAAATAGCTAAAATAACAATGATATCATGAAAAAAGATCTGATACACTGATTAATAAGGGTGTTTAAGTAATTCAATACTACACACGTAGACCTAATCTTCATCACCCCTCACAACTAAACACATAAAACGCCAGTTAATAGTTTTCTAAGATTACGGATACGACAACCAAACACGACGACTAAGGTCTACTAAGTTTATTTATGCGTCCAATTTGAAATTTCCGAGTTCTTCATTAAGCGAATTCCTAATATTCAAACTTCGTGTAAATTAACATATTAACTTATTTGCACCGAACTCTTCACGATCTCTTAACTGAAAGTATTTAAATCCCATTATTTCCATCAGCGAAAAAAAATCTAAACTTAGCCAAACCCATCTCAATTTATCGTACTGTGATTTACCAGGATTTCTAAGGTGGATTTATGTATTTGTGTTTCTGCAGCCTCGATCTCATAGTCGGTATTTGCACCCAATTGTAATTCTTGTACTATGTTGCCAGAATAAGGGAGAACTTGGGTACGGTATGTCTTGTATTGATCCATCAACATCTCTCACAGGTGCTATTGGGTGACATTCATCGCCCGGCTCTAGTCTCTGGAGTTCTATTCATTTCTTCTTCCCGTCTCCGTCTTTCTCCTTATTCCCCCTTCTTGTCAACCATCACAACAGCCTCGTGAATCTCTTTTCGTTTTTCACTAAACCACCTGAACTTCCTTCCTTCCTTCCTTAGCGAGACCTCCTTACTCCATGCAACCTTCTTTCATTTTCTCCGTGAATCTTTCCTCTATTTCCCCCCTTTCTTCTCCCCTATGTCTCCTCTCCCTCATCCTTCTTCGGTATCAATCATGTGTTAATAGGCCCTAGAAAGAAACCTATGACGTCAATAATGAATTTATATAGATAGACCCAGTACGTCTACAGATTGTATACTCTAGGCCAGTGGCGGTTATTGTTTATATGCATATACTGTAGATGCACTGATCACAGTATAGGGCGTTTGTCTGGACGAGTGAAAAGGCTAATGGATGTATACGTCAACGCCAGGGGCGGATTACTAATGGGGCTGATGGGGCTGTAGTCCCAGGCTCACTGGAAAAATAGGCCCACAAAATGATTTACAAACATATAAGCCCTTTCTCTAATGAGTCTCTTAGACTAACATAGCCAGTCCGGTCGCCACAAGCGATAAAAAATCCTGGTGGGCGAATTTACCGCCCTGGGCAAGAGAGTATTCCCGCCTTGGGGTTCGTAAATAGAAGACTTCTCGAGCTGTGATTGGCTCTTGATGACTTAAATCTGATGCTCAAAGTACTGTATGAAGGTTTGGGGCTTCTCAGTCGCGGACTCGAGGGAGAAGGGAGTTTGTTTACGGTCTTTAAGCTGAGAATAAGAGTGATTTTTGAGTGATAAAATACTTATAAAATAGAAGTTTATAAATGATGAAATTTGCTAATGATAGTGTATATGTTTTGAAGAGATTGTAATAGATATGTAAACTAAAAATCAATTACTGCCATAATTATATAGCCTACATGTAAATAAGCTAGTGTTATGATCAGTGATAATATTGTCACTACGTGGGTGACTGCATGTGTTTACAGTGTTTCGTAGCCCTAATAAGCTATAAAGCTATAAAATATACATGCAAGTATATATTCATACATACATATATAATATACATTTATGCCCACGAGACCTTTAACCCGGTCCTGGTCAACACAAGGACCAGCAGAGAGGTCTGAGCTGACACTGCGAGAACCAGCTGGGTCAAGAGAGATGACTTTGACCCTAGCAATACCAATGACTCACTCATGGATATTTCATAGCTGTGTTTCACAACTAAATGGCCTTCTTGGATGTTTCATGACTGCTTGGCCTATTATATCTGAGAGTTCTCCCCTGTAGCAGCCCAGAGAAAATATCCGATTCGTGGATGTTAGTTCTTTTTCTGGTACTCTTGGATACAATAAAAAAAATTACTTTCGTTATTCCTTTAATTTATTAATATTCATATTTTCTGATAAGCGGTTATTTATTGCGACTTTTAAGTACTTTGATATCAGCTTACGTGATTTTCAGTACCGGTAATTTATAATTAGGTTCTGGGACCTTCAGTAATCTGTCATTAATATAATTTCTAGGAATGATACATCTTGTGCAAAAGTAGTATTTACACCAACGCAACTTTTTTTCTTTTACAATAATATTCCAAACTATTATACCATATTTGGATGGATTTAGTCAAGAGAAAAAACTAATATATGGGCAGAATCGAAAACCATAATTAGTCATACGTATTTACCTTTTCCCGAGTTAAACTTGAAGGGGAAAATGTTCACGAACGATAATGTGCAGGAACTACTCAACATTTTCGAGTATAACTAAGCTTTATTTCAGAAACGATTGTCCGCTTAGTAAACTATTAATTACTATTTAAATATGTATCCAACGGAAGATGAAATGATTGTATCGAGAGGCAATTCTTTTTTGTTTTTTTAATTTGGCCTGACTAGGCTAGTAATTTTCTCTGCACCACTTTAATTACGACTCAACAAGTACTTTCGAACATGCAATGACATTTATGGTATCTTTTGATTTCGTTTTCGGTTAACTGTAAAATAAATATTGAAAATACGACTGGTGGATACTCAGATGCAACTTAGACTATTCTAAAGGTCAAACATATTACACATGGAACGTTGTCTCAACCAAACGGTAAAATTAATTACGACTAACCTACGGGCGAAATTGATTATAAAAACGCCGGATTTTCACGTTACTTAACATTTGTGGGCATGAAGAACAAACCTAACCAAACAAACCTACCTAAACTTACCTAACTTTCTCATCGAGAAGCTCCGCTCCCCGGACTCCCTGGTATATTAAACAGAAAGAACTTACTGTGATATGGTGAAATTTAAGGCATTTTCTGGACATGAGATGATGCGGGCGCATCGGCGCTCATGCAGCTCTGGCGGCGGAGTGATTTATTGTGGCGGGAAACGTGGAGCCATGTCGTTGAGGAAGTGACGAACAAATTTCTTTCCGGTCTGAAAACACAGGAATTCCCGCAGTGTGGAGTTTTTATTTATAGGAACAATGCCGTGGTCTTTGAACATTTGAAGGGTCTCGTTGTCTTTGTCCCTAAATTCGAAAATTACGTCTATATAAGACCGGTGACTAACTTCACACGTCATGCTGAAAATGAAACTGCCGCGAGCTCAAGAAAACCACAGGACCAGAGCGAGGCGTCATTACCGCCGGAAAGACATTAGTGCGCGCCTAGGAGCCTTTTTTTTTTTTTACGGAATTAGCCCACCTGGGCACAGGTCACTGACCCACATCGGGGCCTGTGGGGCGAAAATGTAATAATTATTCATAGTAAATAAAATTTATAATAAATAGTAAAATAAAATAATAACAATAATAATAACACTGCAATAATACTAATAATAAAGAACTATAAATACAAGAATGAAAAAAATATCATTAGTGAGAAACGCTATATGTATGTTGTGTTGTCAAGTAAGAGAAACGATTCCGACATCCAATTGTGTGTAAATGAGGCAGAAAGACAGATCAGCAACCTGGGACTTGGTCACAATTTTCGTGATGCCATA